AATATTTTTTATTGATTTATTAAAGCAAACTTCTGGTTGCAGTGTGTTTTAACACAAAAAACCTTAATTACAGGCATACAGCTATCAACCTAGAAAATTTGATTCTTAGGTTTAAGAAGGTTGTATCTGTACTCTTCAAATATCTTATCCTGGGTAAAAGATCTTCAATTTGAATATATTCTTCTTAGATGCTCATCAACTAATATACAATTTCTTTTTTTAAACTCTTGATCATACTTTTCTTGCTCTGTTTCCAATTTACTTTTTATTATCTTTGTAAATATTCTTCTTCTCCTTCTCAAATAATGGAACCAGCCAACATTGAATCTATATTCTTTGTAGACGAGTTGTACGAGAACATTAATAAAGATGATTATGAAGCTTGGTTTTGCAAACTTGGTAAGCATTTTAGAATGAGAGTGATACAAATTCCAAGAGTTTTCTTGAAATTTCAGATAAAAATGTTCTTTTTATTTGTTACAGTGTGTCGGCATCCAAAGACTGTTGAAGATTTACAATTTCGTTTGCTTAAGTAAATCTTGTTGCCGAATCTAAACTGAATACTAATGCTGTTATTGGGAATTTTTATTTAATTAAGGTATTAAATAAAATCTATGGTATTATTTAAATGAAATCAAGCATTTTGGTTGATGGGTATTCGAGTTTTTATTTGTAGGTAATTTATATAAGTGATCCCACTCCCAGCACTCGAGAGAGCCTCAAAATTTGTCGATTTTGGATGAGGGGGGGTTAGGGAATAAATAAATCAAACTGTTGAAAGAGTTTTTTTGTCGATTTAGTGGCCAAAAACCTCCATTGTTTCTTCCTTAAGATAATAAACTGCAGCAAGAAAAGGAAGTGGAAGAAAATGACAACCCGAGGAAAGAATGAAAGTGAGCACTGGGATTCCTCTTCAAAAAAGAGGAACTTTAGTAAGATGAGTGTGGAATCTTTAGAAGAGTCAGGCAACTTAATTAATCTTCAATCCACAATCTTAGTACAATCATCAATCTTTAGCATTTTGAAATTGAAAAAAGTTTGGATTATATCTGAGAATACAAGTGTGTTTGGTTTGCAGGAAACGTAATTATTTTTAAAAAAATTGATGTGGCTGAGATTGATTAAATCGTGTTAATTGGAAAGAAGAAGACAATCGCAGGTTTTTATTATATAAAAAGCCACGTCACATTTCACTAACGACTCTTAGACAGAATCGTTAACTATATCCAGTGTAAAAAGACAAATATAAAAGCTTTGGGTAAACGCAAATATCAACATATTTTCCTGGGGTATTATGGAAGAACCTTGTTTTAATGGTCAGCTAATTTTTATAAAAATTAACATTTGATACAATAAGTTTATAAGGATATATCCTGTTTTTTCATATCTCAAGTCTCAAGTCTCAAAGATACAATGGTCGTCCTGTACTTCCATTTAACAAAACCTTAGACCACATTGTGTCTAATTATGTCAGAATCCAAAATTCTATATGCACCATTTACAATTTGAATCATTAAGACAAGATATTGTAAGCCACTCCCTTGGATTTTGATGTTTAACTATAAAATTTATACGAACTAATATTTGTAACTGCTGATTTAGGTATACGTTAGATTGTTGTCAACGAGTGTACAAGAGCTTCTGCACTGCACCACTCTAAGGAATTGAATTCCCTAATCTTAGCTGAATGCCAACTCTATGTAGTTGAGAAACAGCTTTCAGAATCTCCTTTTCTGCCTGTTCTGCTACATTCTTTGCATCCCTACATTACAAACAAAAATGAATTCCATCTGTTCAGTTTCCATATAAACTTCGCCAAAAATTTGGATGAAGTTGAGCCAATGACGTTCCTACCTGATTAACATATCAGCAGGCATGGAAACTTCAATTTGCACGAGAAGTTTGCCTTGCAACAAATGATGTGTTATGTGCTCAACAGCTATCACCTGGAATTTGCTTAATTTAGTTAGGCTCACTAACATATAATATCACCTGGAAGAGAGCTCAAATGTTTTAGAATACACAAGCATGAAAAGAAAAGTAGTATTGGACTATTTCCTTTGTGGGCTGTTGCCGTAAGTGGATCTCAAAAATATTTGATAAAACAGTCAGGAATCAGGATCAACTCTAAAAGCTCTGAAGTTTCTGACCAGTATCAAAATTTCATCACAAAAGAACTGACCACTGTCCATTTAAAATGTGAAATAAGGCTACCACATGCCGTTGCAGAAATTTTGGAATGACTCATCATTTGGGGGCACATGGTGTATATGAAAAGGATAAGATATTCACAACAGATAGGATAGAGCCTTACACAGCCGGAAACATAATTAATAGCAACCATACCATGAGCAACCATACCTTGGGGAACTTTGACGATAGAGTTTCAGAGACAATGCCTTCAATATGTTCTTGGTGTGAAAGCACATCCATATTTTGGCACCCAACTGTCAGTCTTTCTTGTTGGTCTGCTAGTCTAGGTGATAATCCCGAGAGCGAGGGATCTACAAAGACATTAACAGAAATTTTAAGTAGCTTATAGACATAAAGCTTAAAATCTAGAGGAATGCTAAGAAACTTCCCCTTCAAGTGGTGGATACCGAACACTGTCTATGTGCATGGATCATACATATTCGGCAATAACATGAATGAGTCTATATATCCAGCCTCATCAACAATAAGGCAAACCACCTGCTCACCATGTTGATGTGTCTATAGTTGGCAAAACATGGGGTGTGTGATACTGGGCTCATGAGACTCCAGCTCCAGCTATATATGAGCCAAACTTGTCTGTACCCATGAGGGCCATGTCAAAAATTGTAGAACCACTTGGCTATAAAATTTTTTCCTAATACACTGATAACATTGAAGTGATTGAACTATTGAACTCCATCGACAACTCTTCTGAGGTTTTGTCACTTTTTATCAATAAACACCACAGTTTGAAGAGTCATGAACTCATGATGTTATAAGAGTTTGCTGTCAATATCAAAGGAGGATAAACAACAGGAAGAAGGATAAGGAAATTTGAAATCAAAAACCAAAGCACAAGTAATTCAACATGGGGAAAATGATGGTTTACATTGTAACAAATAAATTTGAAAGACTAATATACATACATATAAGAGCTGAAATATTGGTCTTGCACACCCCAGCACGCTTTCAATTGTTATATAGTAAACCTTATCTTTTATAATTTATTAAAATTGATTAGATCACACTTGCAGAAAAGAAAAAAGGAAGTGGAGGGGGTTACCTATGTGAATGAAGACCTCAGCTACTTCAGCATGGGATTTTTGAATATGATGTCGAACATTTTCACCAATGCCATGTGCAGCACTGACGCTTGAGAAAGGATCTACCTGCAACATATTAGATAATTACAAAAGTCTCTTAAATTACAGTTCTCCATTTAAAGGAAGTCGCCTACATCCTGGATATGTAAAGACTGCATCACGAACAAAAATTAGTTGGAAACATGGAGGCTACCTCGATGTGCACATCGAGATATATACACGAACCAGCTCTCCTTCCTCTTAAGCGGTGGCATCCCTGCAGTGATATGCAAGTCCTTTAAAGTTTATGTATGCATTGTGTATAAACTGAAACATAATGACCAATCCATCTCTGAACCTTGTACAGTTGTACTGAAACAGATAAAAGATAAATTATGGTAGTATAAGGTACAGTGTACAGCAGAATTTCTGATTGGAGAGGACCTTTTTTCTCTTTTGGGAAGAAAGATGGCATACCCTTCCTGTCTCTTGGGAAGTAAGGAAAAGATCCAGCCTCACCCCTTCCCTTCTAATCAAACAAACAAGAAACCATATTATTTGCACCTGGCCTCAGAGTCTCTGCAACCTTTTCTATCTGCCGTCAATATTACCTATGTCAAATATGCCCTTTTGATGGTGAATAAAAGAGGGTGCAATGGTTGGATTTTCGTGGCCAGGTGCTGAGGAACCCATCTCTAATGATAAATGAAGAGTTCAAACCAAAATAATTTTTCATTTTTAGTAAAAAAATGGTAAGAAATAACTAAAGTGCATGAAGAATTTAGTAAGATATAATAAATCCTCATAAACTACGCAGAGTACATGAGTGGATCCGTGAAATGATTCCTTAATACAAAGTAAACATAAAAAGTTAAACTAAAGAAAGATCATAGGTGTTGGAAAGTATAATGCTCACCATGACGCCTTCAACTTGGACTATTGTTTGCTTGATAGGCTCTAAAAGTGGCAGGGGAACTCCAGCATCCACTAATTCCATGACACTAAGAATAAAAATGGGTTAAGGAACAAGAGATTGAAGGGCATAGACAAATGGGTTAAGGAACAAGACAGTGAAGGGCATAGACGCTTGCAAACTACTAGATGAACCATCTAATGCTAAATATGGGAACCTAAGAGCTTAAAACATGCAAAGTGGCAAGAAAACCAGCAATTCATTAGTTTCTTCTGTTTAACTGTTTATAACTGCATAATCAAACATTAGCAAGTAGACCCAATGTTAGGTGAGCAATCTCGAAGAGATGTGGAATAGTCCTGTTATAATCTACTCTAAGGTCATTTCTAGGTATTTATGTAATATGTATGAGAGCCTTGCATTACCAACATGCTTGAGCCAGATTGAAATTTCTTCTTTTTAAGGCTTATTTAGAAAAATCCTAATTATTAACACACATAAATCAGGCAACTGGTATTCTATATACATGAGCTCTTTGCAAAGTGAGGGAGGATACGTGATTATCTTATGTTGCGAGTGGTAGTCTCTTAACCCTTAACAATCCCCTCCCAAGTGAAAGTGTTAATTGATCACAACAACTTCAGGACCCCTGTTC